GTTAATCAATCACACACACAAACAGATGCATCTGATCTAAATTTTGTATACATATACATTAATACAAATATCACTTATTATACTAAATTAGATTATTATACTAATATATAATACTATACTAAAAAGATCAGACTAATTCTATTTGTTGTGAACTCCACAGTAAATGACTGGCCGTATTGAAATGTCACATTTATATAAGAATTATAAATAAAAAATATATATCATTAAAAGGTTGTAGTTTGTATTCTAAGAAGAATATATACAATATATTTATTATGTACATTATTAGAGTAGACGCAACGCAATTTAAGTATCTTATACTTAAATGTCTTATAAAACACGTTCTTTGTAAAAAAAGCTAATAATATAATTGAAGCGTTTGTAAATGATAATAATATCGATTTTAGTAGAAAAATACAAGCATATATTAATAAAGCAACACACCAGTTTCTTGCTAATTTTTCTTGTGATGCGTTTTTTCCGAATGAGTGGTAGAATAAAAAATATGACTATTCAAAAGTATAAACATTATTTCCATTTCAAAAGTTCTCTAAAAATAAATAGCCTACACTTTATATTCTAATAATATTATCCATCATACTATAAATACTACCATAAGCGAAGGACTGTATGTACATATATATTAAGCTGGTAAATAATTATAATTATGAAAAGAGGGGTTTTAGAAAAGAATAATGTAATTATACGAACTAAAACAGATAATAGAAGAATCAGAATGTCAAATATAACATTTTTCTATATTAAATAATAGACAATTCAAATCATAAAGAATATTTAAAAAGGTGCGTCATGCACATTGTCCCTAGATTATTATTATTATCATCAATTACACACCGACACATCACCTTGGAAGCTGCACGGCACTGTTATGCAAAATGTGCACAGCGCAAATCGATTGTATTGAGATTGCGTGCAATGCAGTATTGGCTGATTAAATTATACAGCACAAATAAATGTTTGCTCCAAATTAGAAGCGGAAAGCTGGATTTATTACCTTTTTAAATTAAGAGTTACATTAATTCAGCTTTTCTCAACATTCATATGAATTAAATTAATCTAATTGTAAAGCTATGCAATAGTCATATACATCCGTACATCTTTCCTGACAAATTATAGCATTTTTTTAATGGATGATACAAGTTCATCCGCCTGCGCTAAAGGTTTACGCTGGCGGGGCACCAGTGGAGGATGATAGGATGAGTATGAGATCAGGGCAGTTAGCCCATCGTAGTAAATTCACCGGGAATTTATCACGATGGTTTTCAAGGGAAACCGCATGGAGATCAACCCAACATGGTATATTGCTAGCAATGTGGTTATCAGTCTACGTTACTAACAATTCCATTCTCTCCCTCCCCCCTAAACTATAGCGTTTATAATACCTATTAGTAGATATACGAGTATCATGAAAAATACTTAGTTTAAATTTACATACATTACACAATATAGAACAAAGTAAATCTACCTGTGTTTTTTTTTTATGGCTGATCATAAAATGGTGCACCTGACGGTTTACGCTGGCGGTATACCAGTATCGATGATAAGATGAGCATAGCACCAGATGACAAAATGAGCATTAGGTCAGATCAGTTAGCCCATCGTGTCAAATTCACCAAGAATTTATCAAGATAGTTTCCAGGGGGAACCGCGTAGAGGTCATGGTACATTGCTAGCAATATAATCATCAGTTCATATTACTAACAATCCCCTTTCCCCCCAGTCTGCCTGTGTTGGACTTCAAGACTGTACCGCAGAATTTTGATGACCAATGATAACGATAGTAAATTTAGTATAAATATAGACAAGACTTAAGTTAAAATAGGCAACTCCAAGTACGATCAATAGAGCTAACCTGCAATATATAATCTAGTAAACGGGGAAACTGTGATGCAGCTAGTTGTGAATAAAAACATAAAAAATATATAACAATGAACAAGACAAAGAGTGGGCAACCTAAAAAGCAATCACTTCCAGACTAAGACTAAATGAATGACATAGACCGCTATGTCGTTGTAACTTGTACCATATACCAAATCCTCGTAATAATATAAATCATATTTCAATCGGTAGTACTGCCGATGTTGTCTTCATTTCTTTCTATTTCTTACCTATATTGAATCAGTAAGAATTGTAAAATATATAAGTAAACAAATAAATAACCTATATATATAAGCGCTACTAACGAGCGTTGACGACCTCGGTGGTCTAGCGGTCTAGCACACCGCTTTTTGACCGATGGTCGCGGGTTCGATTCCTTGCACTTGGCACGGTGTTTTCTATGTATAATATGTATTTTATAAAACAAAATATCTAAAATCATCATCATCATCGTATATGTATCCCCCAAAGATCTGTATCTATGTTATCTATGTACCCATAACACATACCCATCTAAGCTTTAACTTAACTTGGGTCTAGATGGCGCTGTGTGTCCTGAGATTATTATTTTTTTACTAAATCCCAAACTAACCCGAAACCAACACACCAATACAGTGGATACTAGATATATACATATATATTATAATGTTTGTATCACGTTAGAATACACTACAGCTTCGGTCGCGCCACATTTAACCCGTTTTCGTTGCAACTTCGCTCCTATTAGTCGTAGCGTAATGTTATAGCATCTAACACAATCTATATATATATAAATGTATCGCTGTTCATTAATGTCGCTAAAACTCAAGAACGGCTGAACCGATTTGGCTAAACTTAGTCTGAAATATTCGTGATAATCCAGGGAAGGGTTAAAACCCGTGAAAAATATGAATAAATTGCATGAAGAATAGTAAAAACAACAATTTTATTTTCCCATACAAACTGTCAAAAAAAAATTTATTGCGTAACTAAACTTCAGAACTCCTTTAATTTTGAGGCGGATCGCAGTTCGCGGGGTCAGTATTTATTTATTTAACTTCAATGCACAAAAATAATGTGTACATATGACGGACTTATCACCTTGCGGCGTTATCTACCAGTCTACCATGAGTGGTCCAGAATCGGTTTAGCACGCCGCTTTACTGCTGATGGTGACGGGTTCGATTCCTAGCACAATACAAATATTTGTATTCATGAGTATGATTATTTGTTTGGTCTGGGTTTTGTCTATGTACATTATGTATGTATTTACAAAAAATATATATTTAAGTATATCTTCTGTAACGAATGAGGAATCGAACCCGCGACTATCAGATGTAAGGCTGTGTGTTAAATCACTAGACCACTTAGGCCGTAAATGCTACGTCGTAGCACTGTCCTCTCGGAATCTTTTCACATGGAAGAAATAAAAAAGGAGGGATTAATTAGAAGCAGAAGATGTATGAAAGATTTAGTACGAGAGAGATTTCTATAAAGAATACACTGTCTTTTTAGTTTTTAGTGTTAAGAACTTCAGAATTCTATTAATTTTTTTAAAATCCTACTATTTATCTAAAATCGACCTATAGCATAAACTATTAAAAGTAATTTCAGCTTAATTCTTGCTACAATTTTGTAACAAATACACACGCTACGTCAGATTTGGCTTTAATTCATTCTGGCCACATATTTCTTTTCTTTCTTTTTACTGTCCACTTTTACGGCCAATAACTACAACCATAAAAGACTCCGACATACAAGAGGTACGAAATTTTGTCATAAAATCATATTTTTATGGCATTGGAAGATTTCTTACACTTGTTCGAATATACTTGTGTCTAATGGTTAATAAAACAGCGGCATTATACAGTTTGGAATTATTTGTAGCATTATATGGCGGTTTCATGTAGATTATACATCCATTTTGCAATAATTTGCATAGTAACAATAAAGTGAAATTGGATATTTTCAAACGTATTGAAAACGACATAACGTCTATATTGTATTGTATACATCGAGAAAAATGTTCATATTTTTATATAAATTTAGTTGTATACACTTGTTTATATATACTTATTTAATATAATGAAAATTGTTTTGAAAATTGTACAGTTTTTTGATAAATGGTGTTGGATTTTAGTGGATTTTCATTTATACTTGAATAGCTTATTTCTTAATTATTAATTTAGATGTTATAACTCCGTGATAAAATTATATGCTAATAAATAGCGGGTTAGTAATAGTTAACCTGTATCAGTAAAATAAAAAAAAACATAACAGGTCAATTTTTTTATATTAAAAATGATAATATAAAGTTATTATCATTTTTAATATAAAAAATGTGACCTGTTGTGTTTTTTTTTTGCAACCCACTATCTCACATTTATTATTTCAATATGATAGTGTACAAAATATATTTTCAGTTACATTTTTTATCAGTGATGAAGTAAATCTTAAACAGAGCCTAGGTGCAATGTAAAAAATTATAATTATCATTGTTTATTAACCAGTAACAAATAAACGAATAACATTATCGCACTTACATTTTCAGATATTATCAACAATTTGCATAATACTATAATGTGATCACAAATTTAAATTAATTACAATGGATTCGATTGCATCCGCCATTAACAACATTGTACATCTGGTACGATCGTAAAATTTAACGACCGTCGACGTGTGTCTATGCCCCAGCTGTTGCCTAACGCTGGTTAGCAATTAATTAATTGCCTATGTATGCTTGCATGGCGAGTATTGGACATGCCAGTTTACGATAGCGACGGTTTCTATGAATATTCATTATAGGTTGTGTTGGAGGACCGAATTTGATTATACCGACCAATGTGGCTATTTCGATAGTCACAGATTAATTAATAGTTTCAATAGTTGTGTACCTTCAATGGTTCTGTCTACTTTACAATTGTAAAGTAGTTTATTGCAAATGAGATTTGTTAAGTAAAGGAACTGACTACCTGACTTCGATTGAGAGATCTGAAAAAAAATGTCGTAATCACAATATTTTTAATAAAATATTATGTTGTTATTCATGATCTTCGTGTTCCTTATTCAAAATATTGTGTTGTAAGATAAGATTTACAAATCAATTTTCTTCTTTTCAGATAACTTTCAAGGTGACATCGCAATTCCAGATGTAGATTATTTCAAACCGGCCAGCAGTCCACCTGCGTATAGTAAAATTAACAAATCATTACAAGAAGAGGTAGAAAGATTAAAGAAAGAAGTACTATTAGAAGGTTTACAAGTAGAAGAGGAAGGGCTACCAGATATTTTAAGGAAAAGAACAAAGCAACCCATATTTCTTTCACAAGATAAGCCTAAAAAGTATAATGATGCTGCTTTGATGACAAAGGTAAATATTACGAAACCTTAAACTACATTTTTTCATTTTGAAGACTTACTCTTTTATGAGAGTAGATATAATTTATAATATTATTCATACAGTAAAAAATATTTACGTAAAGAGAACATTTTCTAATGTTGTTTGACTTATTACTCATTTTTAGATGTTACCACCTGGATTAGATAAATCAATATTGATGAAAAACGGCAAGTATCCACCTGGTGAAGTGGTTGATAATATTGCCACACCCACAAATCAAAGTAAAATAGAATTGTTAAATCAAACTGCAGTGGATAATTTAACGGAATATGAGAGTCTTGAACAAGATGGCGTTCTAGTAGTTAATATATCAACTGACAATATATTAAATTTAGATGAATTATATCCACACATTCAATTAGCAAACTATTCCAGCAAAATGGATGAGGTGACAAATAAAATACAGAGCAATAGTCGTGAAATTTCTGGAGATTTAAAGAGAATCAAAGATTTACCAGACAATGTGACTGTTGCTCCAGCTCCGACAAATGGAGTTTTGTCGACAAATGATCAAGATGATGATAATGATAATATAGATAAAGCAATAATAAATAATACAGATCGACCTTTAGAAAATAAATTTATTGAAGCCAATGACTTGTTGAAACCTACTGAGAGCTTACAGATGTTAACTGAAGAAAAAGCGACAAGAAGAAGACGGAGAAGAAGAAGACATGGAAATCGGAGAAGGTACGTGTACACGTTTTTTTTATTAATACGTTTGATATTGAAACTGCAACGATCCTCTATATAGCAAGGTGGAAAAAAAATTCTTACATCATCACAGAGTGGTAAGAGTAAAAAATAATAATAACATAGTAATTATTTTGTACACTGCAATATTATAGTGTATCATATTAGACATAATTATGCATAATTCTGAGTATAGTTTTAATTAAAATCCGATCTGATCTTTATAAATGGCATGATTTCGTACCCTTTTATTATTATTATATACTAAAACTAAATTTTAATTGAAGCTTTTCATAATACATTAGTGAAAATCAAACACGAATCTGTTAACGCGATCCTGAGATTACTAATGTGTACAGACGCACGGACAAGGACAGAATTTTTTTTTAACAATTTTTTATTTATATTCAATTACGTTCATTAAGTTTCACAACAATAGTTTTTTTTCCATGTATTATTTTCATTGTCCATAATTACTACGTGAAGCAAATACTTTTTACGAAGTTGCGCTGACGGAGAATACACCTTCGCACACTTATAGTTTATACAAAGGAGTGCAGAATGCTAACATTATTTATTACAGTAAACTAAACTAAAGACGAAATTATAAAGTAGCTATTAGTTCATTTAAAAGAATATATTCACATTATATTACTGTATAAGTCATAATCGGGCAGACTAGTACATTTTTAATACTTTATCTTTTGTCTTATACTTCTTATATTACTTCCTTCACTGTACATTAAACTTTAGATTTCAGTACTGCTCAAAGATTCTAATAGAGCCTTGTGAATAAGTCTCGTTGGGCGTGCAACTTAATTGCACCATCTCAAAAGCCTTGCTTCTTCCTTTACTGTAGGTTTCACTGTGGTTTTATCTTTTCAAATGAAAGGCTAGCAAATTCTACGTTTTATTATATAGTAAAGTTATATTTTTTCTTATTTTATATAAAAAATTAGTCTTTGTTTGTCTTGTATACATCTAATACTATGAAACCGTTGCTGGTCAATTCTGACTGCCTCCATTTATTCTGTGATCATCCACTTGTACTAGACAGAATATAACAATATCGCAGAAGAGTGCATCATTCCTTTATCATACACTACCAGTGCACTTATAGTGACCTTGACCAAATAAAGAAAAGGTAACTTATAATCTAACTCAAAAAAGACAATGAACAATACTTCTGTACATACTTTTATCTCCCCCTTCATCCTCTTTATCCGCATTAAAAGTCTATGTCCTTCCTCAGGGTCTTGGCTATATGTGTACCAAATTTCATTTAAATCAGTTCAGTAGTTGTGCGTGAAAGCGAGACAGACAGACTTACTTTCGCATTATAATATTTGTATTACTAAGGATTAAAACAAAATACAATCTTAGGCATTATTGTCATAATTAATTTAACTTAATACGTAGAAGCTTTAAAGACGTTATCTGATAGAGTCCAATGGATTTATTATATATTAAAGTAACTGAGTGTTTGTACTAAGATAACCAGATTCATAAAACAATTAGTAGGGCAGCATGAATACGGGCGCAGTGCAGTTACGAATAGATCTGCATTGCTTAAGTCATCCATTCATTAGCATTGAAGCAAGCTATATCTCTGCATTTATTTTAGAAAATACTATCCATAAATTATACAGTTGTAGTTACAAATATAGATATAAATTAAATTGCAGAATTTTTGTAACAATGGAATTTATTATTTGGTCAAATTCATAATTCTGAGAGAACAAAGGGATTAAGAATTATAATACAATAAGTTTATATTCTATGTTGGGTGTTACTCTTATATAATAATATATCATAGTGTATATTATATATAGAGGTAGACTGTTAAACCTCATCACATGCGTGAGTACCAGAGTCTCCTAACTTAATAGTCGCCAAACAGCTTGCTTTGTATGCTGCGCTTTAGTTGTAAGAGTGTAGATTAGGCAGCGAAATTACAGGATAAAAGATATAACATCTTGGTCCTCTGAATCAAATCAAAATATCTGTGTTCATGTCCATTACCGACTCTTGTGATATTTCAACGCAACTCAATTCTTCGTTTTGATTGTAGAGTGTGATTTTAGGAAATTACAAGATAAAATACCGGAATTGCAACAACCGATGTCACATGATAACGTGATGTCCGTAATCCTGTTTTTGTAAGGCAATGTTATCGCTTAGTCCCAATTAGGTGGGACCAAGTAACTTGTTTGCCAAAATATACTGAATTGTGACTAGAGGTATAGCTAGCTTTTATATAAAAAATGCTTACCTGAGACGATGAATCAGTATGTATAGACCCGGTTGCGTGTGGCTGTAGGCGTGTACTCATTAGTATGGTTCACTTAGACTTTATTTTGAACATTTATACTTATATTTATATACCCTTATGAATTGTATGTATGTATATTAAAGTGGACGTCTTCCGGGCTGAGATGATGATGACATTAAATCATTACCTACACTTAGTATATGTATAACAATTATGCGATAATTATTAATTATCACGAAATATTTGAATATTTATAAAACAGGATTCAGAAACAATCAATTTAGAAATCTATTTATTGGGTCGATTTCCTACCTAATTATTAAATAATTTATATAGGGTTAATAGGGAACTGAATATCATACAAAAAGAAAACACAGTTTACATGCATGAATCAATTTACATATTTATTTATACATTTGTCAATTTTTAGGTCACGCAATATATGCGTAAATAATTATTTTCAAAGTTATTTTTATTTATTACATTTTATGCTCATACAGTAACGTAATAATACTCTAACAAATTATTTCAGGTTAAGAAATGTCCATTCAACCGAAAGATTTGGGCAGAACACATTGAAATTCGGCGAACCCACACACAATGAACATTTCGAGAGGAAAAAATTTTTTCGTCACCAAAAGAAATACAATAGTGAAGAACGCAGTCAACCGAGGAAGTATGAAATACCCGAGCATGAATTCGAAGAGAAATTTGAAGTGAAACCACCTCCGAAGCCAAGTGTTACTGGAAATGTAGAAAATCAACAATTTAAAGATTGGTTTTTTCGAGATACGTCCGACGATTTAGATGCTGCGGAAAGTCGCTTCTATAATATTTCTGAGGTATGTAAAAGTTCTAATCCTAAAGACTACATAATATATAGTGTAATGTGTAACATATATTATAAGCATTGAATAGAAAAAACATTACATGCATACCATTACAATAATTAGATCAGGCATCCTTTAGTTACGAAGCCCTTCACTCAGCTTTTCAACTATATTCATTAGGTATTAACTTTTTATAATGATAATGATGATGATGATGATAAGGATGATGATGGTTGTAAAGTATTGTATACCATTTTTACTCATATGTATCTAGATATATAGTTGTCTGTTGAGTTAGTTCGAGTTATGACTGCTATGTGAATTATTCTTATTTCATTGTATTAATTTAATATGGACGATCATTTTAGTTTAGGTTGTATTGTGTATTTATCCTAGACTTTTTAATATGTATTATAATAACATATATTTTGTAGAATCCAATGTTAAAAGAGTAAGAGAAAAATCTTCTTGTTAGTTGTTAGTTTTTGTCGGCATAAATTGCATTCCAAACTGAGGTTAGATTTAACTCATCATTTGATGGGTCTGTAATAGATCTACATGAAAAAAGATAAATATATAATAAAAGATTACATATCGCAGATTAAAAAACGTCACCGATCCATACGAGCGGCTACAAATCGTAAAGAGCGTATTTGGGAAAATGGTGTGATACCATATGAAATAGATGGGAACTTCAGCGGTGCCCACAAGTCACTGTTCAAACAAGCTATGCGTCACTGGGAGAACTTCACCTGTGTGAAGTTTGTTGAAAGAGATGCAGACCTGCACAGAGATTACATAGTCTTCACGGAAAGACCTTGCGGGTAAGTAACGTTTACTCATAAATATTAACTTACCACTAAAGTCAGCCATTTAACAATTTAAATGAATGCGCTTGGAATCTAGAATAAAGGTTGGGACGATTGTTTCCTTCAATATGTTTAAAATTGCCGCCTCATTTATAAAAATAGTTACCGTTTTGTCCTTTTCTTTTTTCTATTTTCCTAATGAGAAAAAAAGAGTGAGAAAACAATAAATTTTATTACACGTTAAAATTTTATACAAGTCTGTATAAAGACTAACTTTTATGTATGGGGAATGGAGTCTTGTGCCTAGCTTTGGTATTAAATTTCATGCAATTGCAATACTAGAACGCATTTGATTCAATTACACGGAAACTTACAGGGTTTTTTTTAATCTATTAAGTTTTTTCAATATTTAGTTATTTATTTATTAGTTATAGTGGGATTTTATAGAACAACTAACTATCTTACTATATGAGTTACACTGGGATAGTGTCACCCTCATCAATTAGGCATATAAAGAATTCTAGAGTCTATTCTCAAACTTACGAAATATACGCAAAAAATTCATCTAAAGTTACATATGTTACCCTTAAGAGGGCTTAAGGGTAACATTTGTAAAAAAATTGTATGTCATATTTATTTATATTTATTTAGCAGCCTCAAATATAAGTTTCAATCTTCTAGCTTCAAAAATTACGATTTTTCCATACAATCTTTCATCCTCAATTTCAACCCCTTGCAACCCTTTTTTCGCATTAAAAAGTAGCCTATGTCCCTTCTCAGGGTCTAGACTATCTGTGTACCAAATTTCATTTAAATCGGTTCAGTAGTTTTGGCGTGAAAGCGAGACAGACAGACAGAGTTACTTTCGCATTTATAATATTAGTAAGGAATAAGGATTATTAGGGTCTCATATAAAATGCTAGATCGAGATAGAAATATCTTTTCATCTACAATGAGCATTCAAATCAATTGGCTAGAAGTACCTTTTCAATTTTATCGACGGAGAATTTAATAACCCTTCATATTGCTTTTCTTTGACTTTTACTATGGACTTTTAAGGCAAAATGAACTTTAAGTACTTTTTAAAATTAAATACGAACTTATTAATTAATAGAGCCTGAATAAAACTGTATATAGATATTATGGTGGCATAAAGATTCATCCAATTATTTCTGGTCTTAGAAGATTTATTTTCAAAATTAAATATTGACTGATCTTTATAATTAGAATCCGCATTAAACCTCGGTATTAATTCATTTTTTTAATCTGTACGGGGTACGCATTAAAGGGTACATGCCAATAATGTGATAGAATATTTATGAAACTGACAAGAAAGCCTTGGCTCTAGGGGTTTAGGACACCACTTTATTTCCGATGGTTGTAGGTCTTCCCTGCACGATCTAAATTTGTATTCATAAGTATGATTATTTATATCAGTTTGTCTGTTTTTAATATATATTATGTATAATTTACAAATTAAATATTTCTATCCAATAGTATGATTATATCTTAAGAGGAATCCATCCCGCGACCATCGAAAGTAAAGCTGTGTGCTAAACCACTAGACCACCGAGACCCGTTGTGTTAGTTTCACGAATAATATTGCTGAATTTTGAATTATCATACCCCTTCTATTACAGAGTGTAATATAAACAGGATCACCTCACCTACTATAATCGCTATAGTTTCATGTGCACCATTTAATAAACGACTATTGTATCGTTTGCATTAATGGCCGGCATCCGTACTTAAGAATTTAAAGGCAATAATTTTGTCCTTTTGGGTAATTTTGCACTCTATAGTTTGACCCATTTGTAATCCGCCCACTATAGCGCTGTATATTTAATTTGGGTCATTTTGGCCCACACTCGATATACCTATGACGTTTTGTGCTGTGCTATGTAAAATTTCACAGAGGGTTAGAAATATACTTGTTATGTAAAAATATATTACTTTTTCTTTTTCTATTTCTGTTATTTTTATTATTGTAATGTATGTATACAGATAAAATAAATTTATAGAAAAAGTTACTAAGTTTACGACAATTCCATATTGATCTTTTAAATTCTCTTCTAGAGAGAAGTACTCTTCGAGATCTCAGTGGTACAGTTAAAAAAAATATTTGTTATAATTAAAATATATTTATAAATAAAAGTGTTCTTTCAAAAGTACTTCATTCCTGATTATGAATCAATAAAGTATTTTGACCTCGGTTTAGCACACCTCTTTATTTTCTATCGTGCAAAGAATCGAATCCGCTACCATCGGAAGCTACTAACCAGTTCGTGTTATTTGTGTGGATTATTTTATAATATAAAAATGATAAATCGGTTCGCTGGTCGTAAACGATTTTTGTAACTACAACAACAGATATAGATATTAAGGATGACATTAAAAATCTGAGCTTTAGTGAGAAAGAACTGTCATTTGATATCGCACTAGTCGTGACCATTTTTCTAAAGCATGCAGACGAACTCCGTACCATAGTAATAAGATAGAACATGGATGACAATCCAATTAAAATACTAGTTCTGAAATTTTGACATAATACCGCCAATATTTATTCTAAAATTTATGGCTATAAAGGTATTTTCTCGACGTTTCGACTAGAGAAATTATTTGTGTTAAAACACATATATTGAATGACGGCCTCAGTGGTCTAGCGGTTTAGTACACCGCTTTACGTCCGATGGTTGCGGGTTCGATTTCTTCGCACGGTGCAAATATTTGTATTCATGAGTATGATTGTTTGTATCGGTCTGGGTGTTATCTCTGTATATTATGTATATATTTAAAAAAATTATCTGAGTATTTATTTTTATCAGCTGTCTATACAAGCTCTGCTTACCGTGGGACTAGATGCGGCTGTGTTATTTATTATTATTTGTATTAATAATAATACCGGCATTTTTGCCTTTAACAGGTGCTGTTCATTCGTTGGAAAAAGAGGAGGAGGTGCGCAGGCTATATCTATAGGGAAAAACTGCGACAAGTTTGGAATTGTGGTCCACGAGTTGGGCCACGTGGTTGGCTTCTGGCACGAACATACACGTCCAGATCGTGATAATCACGTGCAGATCATTAGAGACAACATAATGACAGGTAATTTAATTATATCACTAGTTATCTAGCTGTACAAGACATAAATAATATTATATCGTAGTTAAGATAATTAATAAAAAATAACTTCAAAAACTAAAAGAAAAAGGGACCAACAGTGTACAGTTCTCTAGCTGTAGAAGACATAAATAACCTGGTATAAGTTGGTGCAGAGTATATTCTCAAAGGAGAATCAACTCGTTCTCATTTTTTGTGTTACTAACTGCTCATATTCGTAGTTAAGATAATTAATAAAAAATAACTCAAGAACTAAAAAAAATTCTAATCAGAACGTACACTCTTCAGTTTTTCAAATTGGTATATAAATGACAGAGTTATGAAGAAACAAACATTTAAAGAAATATAACCAAATTGAGAATTCTTTTTTTGGAGTCGGTTAAAACCAGGAGAGAACTTTTCTAACAGTTATTGTTTTCCTTAATTCCTTTATGATATAAATATTTTCATTCACAGTAAAAACTTATTATACACTTAGGTACACGTTTTCTTAGGAGGTAATGGAAATATATAAGTATTTGCAAAGTTCTATGAAGAGCGGCGCTAATGATTTTGAATGAGTCAATGAAAAATTCTATTTTGTTTTCCTCATAGAATAAAAACAAACATTTACATAATCCTTTATTTATATACGATTATTATTTTGATTACTATAATATTACTAACCAAAATATCAATTTAAGGAAGTAGTGCAGATTGCTAATATTTTTCTGTAAATGTGTTTTTTTTTCACAATTGTAGAAAAGTATTAACATATATGACATTGTGAAAAAAATTTCACATTTATAGAAAAATATTAGCATATATCATTATATATATAGCAAAAACATTACACACTACTAGTATTTGACAAACAAACGCATATATACTTTTTTGTATATTGTTAAAGTCTGTCGTCAAATTGACAATAGATTAATATTGTTAGTCCTTAATATTATTTGTCTTTAATAATATTACTATTGGCAGCAAAATACTATGTCAGATTGTCTTTCTGGAAATTATTGTGGTTAATTCTTAATGACTTTACTATAATGGGCAATTTTTTAATTAACCACAATAATAAATGTAATAACATTATTAATGATTAACAAACAACATATGTGACATGTGTACATGTAAGTAAAATATAACAAAACAGTGGTATATTCTGTTTTTTACTACAAAAATTGTATATCAGCCCTAGTCTGTAGAAAATATAAACATTATAATATAATTACTATGTAACCTAGCTATAATAATCCTACTGAGTGTTAAATTAATTCGTCGAAAATATTATTTATTATTAGTCGAAATTCGATCACTGGGCAACCACTAGTACCAATAATATCACGATATAATAATTTGTCAATTTTCTAGTGTCTTAACGTAAATTATTCTCCAAATATAATAAGGCAACTAACTGTAAACTATTACCAACGTAACTTAATTTAATAACGATATTAATAGCGTCTAACCGAGATCTTAATTGTAACAGTTTAAAGGAATTACAAGTTTTGGAGTGAATCGTTATTAAATTTTAATTGACGGTTACACTTAACAAGTTAAGAGCACTTAGATACGCTATGCTTTTCATTGCTAAATAAAAGCCAAGTTAGTTAGATATGTTATATTTATCTACATTACATACATAAAGGTACAGTTACAAGGAGTATTTATTACAGAAGTTAAAACAATACGATGCAATATGTATAATCCTGCATGTATGAGCCATAGCAATACAAAATAGCTCATAATTCAGACTGGAGAATCGCTAATGAAGCCAAGCTGATTTTTGTCTATAATCATGATGGTCGATGTTCCATTAAAAAAATCGGTATGATAACATTAGACGATAAATAACCAAGGAAGTTGTAATTGAAACGACTGATTCGAGCAAATTCAGAATTATAACTGTGGTCATTTTGCACTATTTAAAACTAGTGCCTGCCACGGCTTCGCCCAGGTGTAGTCCGATTAAGGTGACAACTTTATGAATTTTGTACATATACACTCTGGAAGTATGTACCTCATAGAATGTACACAAACAATTAATGAATTTCTCAAAGCAGTGCAGTGATTCTGGAATTTACTCTATCAAATAGTCTACAAAAGCTCTATCTCTATCAGCTCTATCTCTATCAGCTCTATCTCTCTCTTTCTCTTTTTGTTTTTTATATATAGCATGGAGGACAAACCAACTTGCGGCTGATGGTAAGTGATTACCCGCAAGCTCATGAGTACCCGCAACAACAGTGCATTGCCCGCCTTTTAAGAATATTGTAACAATGTTTCTTCTACTTCTCTTTATAAATGAATTAACATAACGTTTAATACACATATAACATATCAATTGTCTTACATGTCTAAAGACAACAGATTTTGTAGCTTAATATAATTTAATATAATCTGCTTTTGACATTGGCACGACTGAAAACCAAGTCTCGCTTTCAAGGGCCTCCAGAGGAGATTGTTTGAAGTGTATGACTGTATTCGTAATGTCACCTCTCTTACTCAGGAATACGTCTGCGAGTGCGTATAGGTACTACTTGACCCGAATACATTGAGAACGTCTTAGTGCTTATCTTTTGAGAAGTCCTCCAGTTACACCGTATTTAATATGAGAGAGGAAACTATTAATAACTAACCTTTACCCGCGACTTTATCTGCTCATACTATTTTATTTTCTTCCAGATATATTTGGGGATAAAAAATAACCTATGTCAATGTTCGTGATACAATCTTCATGTGAAGTTTTTTTTTTTATACCACTTAGGTGGCAAACAAGCATACGGCCCATCTGATGGTAAACGGTTACCTTAGCCTATGGACGCCTGAAACACCAGGGGTGTCACATACGCGTTGCCGACCCTTAAGAAACCTTAATATACCCTTCTTGAAAAACCCCATGCTGTAGTCTCTCGAGAAAAGTTTCATTAAGATTCGATAAATAGACATGCCGATCCACTTTTGCATTTATATCAGTATGAAGACTTAGTAGTCTTGGAATTAGTGTTCTAATGCAGCTAAACTTTAATTTAAAAAGGTTACATAAATTTAAGTAACTAGGTACTTTGATTAACTAAAATATGGAACAAAAGCTAAACTTAAAATTAGCTTGCTCTAAAGTTAATGAATAAAATTTTATTATAGGAGTCGAGAATTTTGTTATAAGTCCATTGTGCTATTACTACTATACTGCATAATTTAAAAATTGCATCGTCCGGGTTGTTTATTTTGATTTACGTTACAAATGTTTCTTTACTTTTCTTTTTGTGCTCTATTAGTATTGAGTTTCAATAAATAAGTATTATAAATTTTATTTTCATAAATTAAAATTTATTATTCCAGCTGTATATGACAATTCTGTTATCCTTTAGTTGTAAAAAAGACCTTATTATTTTTATTATTGTAGAATCAAATATGATAGGAATAAGTCCGAGTTTGTTTAGAATAAAAATACTTTCTTCTTTATCAGTAAAAGTCCCGTGTGAATACACAATTAAGAATAAAAAATAATATTTTCATTTGTACAACTAAATGGTAACAGAATTGTAATAGACCTTTATCGTTACAACAATATTGACGGCTTTGGTGGTCTAGCGGTGGTTTATCACACCGCTTTACTTCGATGGACGCGGATTCGATTCCTCACACGGTGCAAAGATTTGTATTCATGAATATGATTGTTATATTTTATTTATCATTTATTATATTTGCATCGCCAACATTTATTCTCTGCACCACCTATGGTTGACTGGTAGAAAATGCCGCATGGTGTTAAGTTCTAAATATATATAAATTGTTTATATTGGTAGATGTGTTTTCTATATATATTACATATGTATTTACATTAAAAAAATCTAATCATTTATATCTGTTGTGTAGTACCCATAACAATCTCTGCTTACCGTGAGACTAGACTGAGCTGTGTCAATTGTCCAGGGTTAAAATATATTTCTATGAAGTAGTTGATCACAGTATTACGCGTCGGTGTGACATGAAGTGAAGGCATACGTAGCGTGACAGTGACACGAATGTCGGCCCACATTCAAAACGTCACGGGCGTGACATCTGAAGCATAATTAACATCCTCGGAGGGAAAAACATCTCGCTTCCTGTTTATTGTATTCCTTCGATCTGTTGCTATATCGACTTGCGTTAATAAGGTCACGGTTGAATATTAATAAAGACGGTTATACTAAGATTTTAGTTTAAGGAAAATTGTGGTGATATATACAAAGTAATAGATAAGAGGTCAATGTATTACATTATTATACATATTTTTAATGACTTATTAAAGCTCTACCGCACCGCATCGCCTATTATATCAGTGTAACAAAAGGAAAATATAAATATAAATTTTATACTCAGCCCCATGTGCAGCGTTGTACAAGTATGCTAAATTCTTTTGATGTTGTCTATATACCAATTGTAATTTCATTTTGTTATTTACTTAAATTAATATTATTTTCTTAATAATTAAAATTTGCATGGTTAAGGATAATAAATATTCTTAATTTTAAGTAAAGTGTGTGGATGTGTGTCAATCCACAAAACAAACCTTAGTTTGACTATTAAAACCCAATAGAACAGACTATAACGTTGATGGAATAGTGTAAATAAGAGTGCAGAGTTCAGATAATCATCTGATATAGTTTATTTAAAAAGGTCATAGATTAAATACATAATGACAGTACACTTTAGTTTATTCTTTGAAACTACACTCATAAGGATTGTTACCAAAACTTCAACATATTTCAACGTAGAATTTAATTCACAAAGTAACTATGAAACTTGCAAACGATTTACTTCCAAACTTGCTACAACTTTAAACTGTTACAATCGAGGTTTTGTGGCATTCAAAGTATCTAAGCTGAATTCTAATAAAATTTGATCTTATACGGATACCAGTAGAGTTTAATTTCCTAAGCTTGGTTTAAAGAGAATTATATGGAGACTGAAATTAGCGTGTTTTGCTCAGCGAAGTATTCGAACTGCGACAAAAAGTTGACCTGATTAGGTATGTATGAAGATAAGAAAACAATTTCTGTGTTCATCTTATTCACATAAAAAAATATTTTTTTGATCTTTTACACGTTATAAGAACGAAAACCTCTTTAGCAAGTTCAATTTCATTATTGAATATTATAGAAATGGATCGATGCAATTCAATCAAATCAAACTAAATGTATCTTTATTCATGTAGGTTCGTTCATTCTTATAATCAGTGAAATCTACCGTCATTTTTGAAAGTAATCCTTTATGCTTATAAGATTACCTGTACATGTAAGAACAATTAGTTTGAAGACCTCTAGTATATGTATTGAAGCGTGACATATCGTATTGCTGTATCTTGTGTAGTTGATTCGTAAAAATGAACAAATAAAAGATGGATTATCTACATACATTTGTGAGCCTGAGAGAATATTATTTACGTCTACTATTATGATAATTGCATCTTTATATTCTATTCTCTTATATGTTATTTAAACAATAAATGATTTTATAATCAATTTACATTTGTAAATTATTATTGCAAATGATTCTATAGGTTTACTAAGTTACCAAATCTGGTAAATCAAAGCAAACTTACAAAACCTTTTAATAGAACGTCTTTTATGATACATACATATTAAACATGTAGATAATTGTCGTCGTATTTTAATCTAAATGAAGTTGTTTTAAATAGTTACGGAAATGGAAAACAAAATATTAAATTATAAGTGCAAAATGTTTGATAAAACTACTAGATTTATATCAAACTTGTTCTATTTCGTTATGATTGTGCAAATCCATTGCAATTTCAAAATCATCCTAAAAATGCATTCTATGTTAAAACCAAAAAAAATTAAATTCTGTTAAGTTTACAGACATACAAATTTGCTAGCGTTACTATAAGTACGCCGGCATACTCTTAAGTCTCCAGATTATGAGACTTGAGAAAATTAGGACAGCTTTAAAGACAAGAACACTAGAAATAGCGACGTTTATATTCAAATTTGCTGAGCAGATCATAGTAAGAGTACAAATTGCATCATTTTAGTTAAACAGAATATTATTCTTTTTTAATAATATAAGTGGATTGGACAATTATGTTAATAAAATTTAAAATAAGAATAAACACTTCTTAATTCTTACTGATACCTACTTTTTATACTTTTATAAAATATTGCGATTATTAAACGTGCCGATGATCCATATAATGAAAATGTAACTGTAACACACCGACATGTATATAGAAATATGAAATGACTACCATAAGATTTTCCAAACAAAGAATTCCTTCTATGGACTAAAGGTTTGATTCGATATTGTATTTATTTCTTAATTACATATTGTACTAAAAATCTAAATTTAATAAAACACACCGAAACGTTCGATAATGTTTTTATACTTGCATAAGATTAATTATTCATACACTTTCTTGCATAGATAAAAAATAATTCAGATGAACGAAAAGTTTCGTTAATAGGTTTTGTAATGTTTGTAACGTAAATGAAGCTAGTTTGTCAAACAAAACTATACACCGGTAGAAACAAAACGAATCATATACGAAAAACGGAAAAATAAACAAAGCTAGCCAAATTTAGTAGCCATTTTGAAATATAGCAACATTTCCGATGAGAAAACGCTGATACTGATTCAACTTAAAGAGATCAAATGACTGAAGTTGACAAGTGCAGTTGACGTGTACCCAACAAATTGTAATGAATGAATTGAATCAAGTACCCATTATGGACACCGGTCGAGCAATGTGCGGTGACATAAACGGCCATTAGGCTGAGTGTTTTACGGGCCTTATTGCAGTTCAGCGGATAAAGTCCTTGCAGCTAATTTTATACAATGATCTGACCTAGTGTATGTACTGTCTTTTAGACTGATCTATAACTATTCTATATTTAGATTTAAAAGTATCGAACTCATGAAAAAAAGTAAACACTAATTATTTTTATAACGTTTGGAATTAGAGTGCTTTTTATTTTCTAAAATTTAGATTACCTTTCCACATTATTTTAATCAAGTAGGAGTATAATTCGAGTATATTTAGTTTAAGTAAGTGTCAGATGTCCTTCCAAAATTTCAATTTTTTTTTAATAAATTCAATCAAAATAAGATCATTTAAAAAGTAGTTTAGTAAAATTAAACCTTATATTATGTGTAATGTAGAATAAATTTGATCAATAACAACTGAAGGCCTATACAAATAAAAAACTAATGAGAATTAGATAATAAAATTTCATAATTACATCCTATTGCTATATTCTCATCTTATATTATATTTATTGCACCTTTTTTTTCAAGATTAGGAAATATAAATATAATTTATTTATTGAAAAAAAAAGTGTAAGTAAAACTTTTTTATTCGTTTATTGCACCTAGTAAGACAAGGTACTCTGGTTGAAAAGCTGTTTGTTACGAAGCTAGTAGACATTACTCTATTATTATACGGATAATAACATAATTGTCTATAATGTAATATCTTCTTTCCTTTATATTTTTGCTTTCCCTAGGCTGCAACTGGTATCGAGATACCTTAACTATCTTTGATTCCCAAAGGTTACCTTTAAAAGATTGCTTTCAGGATTTATGTCTCGGTTAAGCTCTCAACTGTTTTATTTCTCTTTCTCTCTCTGTCTCTCTGTCATATTCAGAGTAAATTAACATAGTTTGTGGTCTCGCTCCATTTTTTTTGCATAATCACTTTTGCATAGTTTTGCTCTTAATTTTATTACGAAATTTGAGCGCGTTTGATCGTTATCTCCCTTGATGGTTAGTGAAGATGCAGATGATGCAGTACTTCATAGAAATACTTCTGTTAAGCTGACTTCATATGTTGGTGTTGATATATCTTTATATGTCAGATCAAATTATATAGGTATAGGAGTAGTCATATATATATAGTGAGTGAGTCTAGGAAAGATGGTTACGTCATTTCGGAGATTAACCCGTACAAATATCGAGTCGCGAGACATTTTCTTTCGTTATTTCTAGTTTAAAATATAATACTAAAATGGAACATTCTATTCTATACCTTATATCTATTTACATGCATGTTATATTTCTAGGTCAGGAGTACAATTTCAACAAATTGACCAACGAAGAAGTGAATTCCCTCGGACAAACATATGATTATGATTCTATTATGCACTATGCAAGGAATACGTTCAGCAAAGGAACTTACTTAGATACTATTTTACCTCTCGAGGTGCATGGTAAGAAAAGGCCAGAAATTGGGCAGAGAGTGAAGCTTAGCGCCAGTGATATTGCTCAGACGAATCTACTCTATAAATGTGCAAGTAAGTAATTAATTTTGCTTTCTATTTGTATTACGTACTTTTTTATTATCTTAGTATCCATAACACACTCTGCTTAGCTTGGAACTTGATAGCGGTGTGAATTGTCTCATATTAGTCAATTTAGTATTTTTTGTACAGAGTATTTAATAATAATATGGGTATATTATTATTAAATTGACTAATATGAGTTACATAGAGACATATATTTTTTGCTTGTAAACTATTAAAAATATGACTACGTTGAATTCCATAAATTATTTAATAATTAAGCAATTGCCAATAAATTTAGTATAGTGGGATAAATAGGAATGTACGAATACTTACTACAATTATCTGCTTTAGTCTTATAAAGTAGTAAATATTCATGTGAATATTAAGAAACAGATGTTTGTTTCTTGGCCGTCACAAAATAAAAAATTATTTAGTTATTGTTGTAGTAATAAGAAAAAAGACTAGGTAAACGGAGAAAATTTATTAATATAGACTACTGACAATTAGGAATAGAAAGAAGGAATTGAAGTATCAAAATCAAGAATGTAATATAAAAGAACTATAAATTTAAATACAAATTTACAATATAAAATACATATCTTATTAGCCAGTTACAACAGTTATATATTTCTTGAAATATGTTTAATTAAAATTTGTATACCAGTAGATTTTAGTCCAAGTTAAAAACTGAGGTAGCTTCGATTAATTAATTAAAATCGGACGAACAAATTATTTGATTGGCAATTGATTTACAATTTGATCCCATTATATGAAAAGGGTCAGGTTTAAAGATTATTCTAATTGTAGTTAAATAGACGAAGTCACAGGCACAGTTAGATACAAAACAAAACCACTCACTTATTACTCTATTTTTTAACATTCTAAAATTAAAAGGAAATATTGTTCTTAATTGGTTTTCATAAAATTGGAATAATATAAAGGGCTTTCAAATGTTTTTCCCTATTTTTTAATTTAGAATGTGGGAGGACCCTTTTGGGTAATTCAGGCTGGTTCAACTCACCTGGTTGGGGATCAGAGTCTTCTCCGACAACACTGGAGCGCTGCGAGTGGAGAATTGTTGCTACACACGGGGAACGAGTAGTGCTCAATATCACTGGTAAGTAATTCAATTTTTCTTTAAAGACATTTATTTTAACGGTAATAATTATATTAACAAACGCATATAAAATTTTTGATGTTCTGGTTTTTGGTCATATATTGTAATAGCTGTATTCATTTGTAAGATTTTTGAATTAGATTTATAAGTATTCCTAATATCATTAAAGGAAGAGAAATGGACAAGAATAATAAACGAATGGTTCTGTAACATATTACGCCGACTCCAAATAAATGGGATAAGGAAGAATCAGATGATGATGGTACCCACGAGACGGTAAAAGAAATAGAGGTAGACAGAATATAAGATAGAAAGATGATATTAGGAAAATAGCTGGTCCAATATGGACTCGTAAGCAAAGGACAGGACAGAATGGAAATCTTTAGAGAAGACCTATGTCGGATGACAAGCTGTACCATTTATCGATTACTTACATTTTATATATTTTTAATCATATGTAAAACCGAGTATAGCAGTAGAGGCTTTTTATTTTTATTCATTTAGTGATGTCATGATGTGAATAAGTGTATTAACCATTCGATTAGAAAATTATGATATAAGGCTCACGATCTTTGAAAATATCGCATACAAAACACATCAAATACAAAAAAGACATAGGGTAAACAGTATAGTGATTGCCCATTTAAGGAAATTATACTGATATGTATATAAATGTTAATTAAAATAATAGGTAAGTGAGTGTCACCTCTTTGGTAACATTAATAGTTTAGCTAAGAGATCCAGTAGTAACAATTTAAATATCTTAAGAAAACTAATAATTACAAGCTTTAACAAAAATAACCTCTAAAAGTATAGTGATTGCCCGGACCAGATAGTCATTGCCTCACGCATCACATAGTTATTGCCCACATAGCATTAACTGCTATAGTTACTAAATCTAGTTAAAAATATACCATATAAACATTAATTCTTATTGTTTAGGAATGTTGACTAACATTAATCGTTAAAGCAAAACAATGTCTCAAGTTTTAAAACCTTATTTATTATTTGAGATCTTTTATAGCTTTCTGTACGTTAGTATACATTCCTAAACAATAAGAATCAGTGTCTTTAGCAGAATAAGAATCATCTACTTTATAGTAAAAAATACACAAAAACAAAAGAATACCTATTCATGTGGTTTTTGTAATGTTCAGGAATACATTTTGAATAAAATGATTTGTGGCAGCAGCTGCCATTAATTTTATTTTTAAAAATTGCTTGCATAACACAAACATACCCAGCGTGCAAAACCTGTTTTTCTTTTTACTCTAGTTTCTTCTTTTCTTTTCTTTCAGATTCTCCTTATATAGTAAAGCTAGCTTGAATACGTCTGATGTAATAGCAAATGGTTGTCCTTCTGATGACAGACAGAAAGATAACCATTTGCTATTACATCATTTCCTTTTATTACCGGAGTTACAGGGTATGCTAAATAGTCCCAAAAAGATGAGTTAACTTTTTGTATTTGTAGACTTACTACACTAATAAAAGATTTGGGGAACAAATGGACTACAAATAATACCAGCAGCCGAGAAAGTAAATAAAATGACTATTGATTATTTTCCATTTGAATGTTCAATATTATAAACGTTTCTAGAACCATTTTCAGCTACAACTAGTCCTGCACACTGGCAAATATGAAAATTTGTCTCATCTATATTGAAAACTTGACTTAAGACTTGGCTTATTACTTTTTCATCGGCATAGCAATATTTCATGGAACCTTTACCTTCAAAACTCCGTATACTTAATTTTGGATGTCTCTTTAAAAATACTTTCCACTATCCAATGTCAGGCCTATTATTCACGAATGGATTAGGTCTTGGATTTTCCTCTAGAAAATTTTGAACACTGTTCAAAATATTTTCTTTATGAAAACCTTCGTGCTGAAGTTGTTATCCTGTCTTCAAGAATAGCTTCTTCTTTAGCAGTTAAAATTGGCACTGAACCCAAGCTGATTTTGTGTCCTGAATTATGTTAAAATATCAGCGTTGTCCTAGGATTCCATATTTTTGAGCTATTTGTCGATCTGATGTCTTTGTTATTTTGGATTTCGATGATTGCCCTCTTTAGGTCTTCCCGTTTGTATTTTAACTTGATTCGGCATGAACTAATAATACTACTACGTAAATGTATTTAACAAAAATAAACTTACCATTGCCCGGGCAACCCAATGCCAATGGCAATAACTAAATACCGATATGGCAATCACTAAAATACATCAAAATAAGATTTAGTAATTGACCACCCCATCTAACTCCTTAATAGGTAAATTTTACATCACAATAACTTCTTGAAATTATAGTATAAAGCATTTACTAACTTATTCTCTATAGCAATAAGTTTAAAACGGAGCTAAGTTAACACAATAAATTAAAACAAAAAGTGTATCCTTAAGAAATTCTTTAAGAAACTTACTTTTTCCGATAATAGGCATACCTGTTGTCATCAAATATGCCATAACACTCTGTTTGTCTTTAAATTTTGCCAATTTATTATTAAACATTCTACTAGAAGATCTCTTAATGCCATCCGGCGAATTTAATTCGAATTAACTCCTTTATGAATAGGTTTAAATGTATCATCTTCTTACTGTGGGCATATCTATACACTGGGCAATCACTGTAGGGTTTACCCTACGTATTTCTGTTAATACCAATGAAATGGCATCCAGAAATATCATCTATGTACAACGCGAATTCGATGTGATGCTATTCGATTCTGTCAAACGTTATCCTGCTGATCCTAAAGCGATCAAGTTTCGTCAAAAGGTTTTGTGAAATAAAACTATTTCATATTAGATCTACAAAACCCTTACATGTTATAGATAGGCCAATATTGCAGCGATGCTTGTCAAAAAGAGCATTGTCAGGGTCGTGGAGGACGCTTGGAGGCCCAATTTCGTTATAAGTATCCTCTTGAGACACCCCAATTGCTATCAGCAGTTGCGTCTTTTTTGTCTACGTCCGCATGTATACTTGATGTCGCTATGACTTTATCTCTTTGTCAAGATTCTGAACTTTATTCTTATTGTTCATACAAATTTCTTCAAAATTTGAAATTCTGAATAAAATTGATTTAAAACAGCAATACGCAAGCTTATTCCACACTCTTCTTGTAATGAGTCTGCGCTCCGAATAAGCGATAATAAATAATATAACAATTCAATAGTATATTAAGTTTATTTGAATAAATATTATTTCTATTGTAAAATTATTCAGAGGTAGTTAGTTGTAAAGGATGAACCACTGTCACAAATTAACTTGTAAATCTGGAATTTCCTTTTCTCTACTAGTTGGTAGTTTGTTTTCTCTACTCTTCTCATTTGTTTCATCTTTCGGCTATTGGGAATACATATTCAGCCAAGAAAATGACACAAAACTTGGCCGTTGCTCATGTGAACATGAGTTACCAAGTTTACAAAGTAGAGTTTGTACAAGCCATCAAATTATGGGGTCACTAGTTTTAAGTACTAGGTTAACCATTGTGGAAACCATTTGTGGTTAATTCCTGGTCAATTCTGTGGTCGTTCACAAATTCCCCGTCAGCGTAGATTGTTAGCACAGGCACCATTCCATATTCATTCAGTAAAATATATATATGAGTACCTAAAACTGAATATCTGTTATTGAGGTATACAATGAGGCCTTACAATAACGATATCTATTTGCACTGCACTGTCTCGCAGACAATAATCCTCCATAATGGACACAACAGTACATTTTGACAGGGGCCATCTCGTTAAGCTGCTATCTGTACCTACGTATCCGAGACAAATGGTTGTTTTGACAACCGTACGTAATCCGTTCGTTGTTGAAACTACTCGTACTTCAGTTTACAAGATAGATGTCCTTTGTAATAGGTTATTGGTAATCTACTTGTATTTTTGTTATACGTTTTATTGTCTTGATATTTTTATTTAATATCTCATCTATTGATTACAGTGGTAGATTTCGTAAAACCCTATCTGGTACATCTCTGACTCACAAATTTCAGCGGAAGAGCAACTTGCTTTACAAAATATGTTTCGGTTGAGTGGTGAGATAAGGAAAGCTTTATAGATCTGAAATTTTTCTCTAGAATGTCATCGCATAGTCGGTGCTATGGGCATCACATGTCACAAGTCTCTCTTCCATTTTTAATGTTACAAACTAAAACGGAACTCTAATGGTGCATCTTTACTTTTTGATTACTTTACAGAACTATGTTCGAGAACAAAGTGCCAAATGCAACCAATATACGTGATTCTGATTCTTTTAGTACGAAAGCTAAATGTTTTATAGTTGGCAACCCTGATAAATGGCCACAAATTCTGCAGGAAACAGAACGATTCGTACACAATAAAGAATAACTTATATAAACTCATAGCTATAATATATACGGTAACAGAGTTGTATTCAATAAATTCTCCAATACTGGCGTGGAGTGTCGTTATATTGTCTGGAAAGTTCAAATTGTTCAGAAATAAATCAAAATTGCATCATTGAACGTAATATTGTATGATATCAGCGGAATGATCCCATTTCTTGTCCATTGACTCAGTAACAAGTGTACAGATGCTTTATCGGTCGTTCTATTCCTGTCTTGAAATGATCGGTTGTATCGATAATAAGTTTAATGAGGAGATAACAATATTAGGTATACTTGTAATTAATTTAACCGGTTATATACAAGTTTTTGCTGTTACTAACTGTATTGTCTAAATCTAAAGTCGTGGCTTAGTGGTTAGTTACTACAAATTGTACTGAATGTCGGGAATTCAAATTAGCTCGTGACAAAAAAAATTGTTTTTTTTTTCAATTTATATTGTTGTCTTTAGCTATCGGGTGGTGCAAACACCAAACTAATCTGGGAGACGACGTAAGCTCACCACCTGCCCTGCTAGATTCAATCGAAGTAAAATTCTATTACGCCGATATATCTGCGTTTTGGTTGTTTTTTATTATTATTTTCTACATACAAAACACATTTATATTTCTTAAACACATTATATTAGT